TACATAATGAGATATTACTAGCATTGTAACTAGGCATTGTAGAGTGGTGTATAGTGAGTGGAACACTGCATAGATTCTAGACTACATAATGCGATATTACTAGCATTGCAGCTAGGCATTTGTAGAGTGGTGTATAGTGAGTGGAACACTGCATAGATTCTAGGCTACATAATGAGATATTACTAGCATTGTAACTAGGAACTAATGGAGTGGTGTATAATGAGTAGAATGTTGTAAATTTAAGCTCCCTGTATTGCTGCACTGTTTTATGATGTGAGGTAACTAACAATCTAATACTTTTAAATCATTTCTCGCCACAGGATCCAGTGAAAGATGGAGAAGTTAAAATACGACAAGACTTTGCCGAATTGTACGAGAATATGCAAACTGCATTCAGGAATCTAGAAGACTAAAAGAAGATCTTGTATTGTAATTTATTAACTTAAACTGGCCACATTAAGAAACTTGTCATATTTTGGTTGAGAATATATGTGACATTACTGGCCAAAAATAGTAAACAGATCATGGTAGGCTTATGAATGATATTTGATATTGTATGCACTTGTGAATTGTCAAAAAGGTTTAGTTTCTTGTTTATGAATGAATCTTTAAGAGCTTAGGTGGTCTTTTAGAGTAGAAATTTTGGAAAGTTAGGGATTCTCTTTCATTAATTTGTTTTTGTTATTTTTGGCCAGTAATGTCTAATCATCCAATGAAAATGCTGATAGAGATGTTTTTTTTTCTCAAGATTGTTCTGGATAGTGGAATGTATTTTTAAGCGACCAATGAGATTCCATGAGGGTAGTGTGCATGCGTTTTTGAAAATAAAGTTAGTTCAGATGGCACCGAAAATGAATTGCTGTGAAGGTGGATATGGAAGCTACATGTCAGTTAAATGGTTTGTTTAAGGGTGTGGACACTTCTATGTGCTGAATTCTTTCGAGTCGCATTCAGTTCATAAAAATTTCACATTATGATTTCAAAGCCGAGAGAAGTAATCTAAACTCTTAGAAATTATACTGAATTCCTGTCTGGCGCAATGAAATCAAACCGAAAAGTGTAATGTTGGTTTAGGAAAGGAAATGGGTGACTGATGAGTCCAGATATATTGTTTAATTACTGGTACACCAGTAACTTGTAGGCTGGTTTGAAGTCTGGGTTCTCACTGTGCACATCTGCTTTCATATGCTGTACATACCCAATTATTTCCTAAATATCGGTGTGATGGACAGTATGTCTATATAGTAATTATAACACAATGCGTGATGGGAAGTTTGTATATGAACACCCACTTCTGCCAATTTTCTCTTGCTGTACAGTTGGTTCAGATATACATTTTTTGTATATAGTAAATATAGCATGCAGGTTGACACTTGGTGGCGCTATACATGATTTCCTCGGATGCCGCACACCTGTTATGTTAGGTTTATAGCAATGTTAGAATTACTGTGCCAGTATTATTCTAAACTATGTGCAGTCGCTGTGGTCGCTCTTGAAATTCAAAGTCATGAGAAAACTTCCCAATCACAATTGCGAAATAGATATTACTAAAAATACCATGTTTTTTTGAGATGCAAAGTGTATAAAAGAAAATATGTAGATAGAAAAGTTATTGCTAATAGTTATGAAAATATAATTGTAAAAATATGTGAAAGTTCTTAGTATTGAATGTTGTACGTTTGTGCTGTATTGTTGGTCGAAGATGTAGTTTTCAATTTCCACAGAATTAAACTGGTCTGTGTAATAATAGAGAAGAAAACACTTTATCATTTTTTGTGTTTTATCTTTCACAATGTGCAACCAGTGTTCTAATTTTCTATAAACAATGCAGTATTATACATGTATGCATTGTGTACATTTCATTTGACCCATACCGAATATGATAGCGCAAAGTCAATGTGCCCTTACCAATGATATAGAATTTAATTGTCCCAAGCCCCTTAGTGAGATTGTCCAGATTAAGTTGTATGTTGATGATCCATGAGTGTACAGAAAAAAAAATATCATCTTTGTGTTGGTAAATTTAGCTTTGTATTCTGGTTTTTGCTTTTTTGATTGTTTTTTTAAGTTACAAGAACTTTCTGACATTAGTGATGCTGCCCTCTATCAGGCAGTTATCTGTGTTCTTTTGTTTTGCTATAATGTGATTCTCTATAAATATGCAAGGTTGTACAATTTTAATTCCTTGATATTTTATTAATTTTGTTATTGTACGCCATATATTACGCCCTCTGTAGTTTGTCTGATAAAAACAAGTTTACTCAGATCTTATCTACAGAGAGCCCTCTCACCACAGAGATATTACAAATTCTGAAAGCAATATTTGTCGTTTCACTTAATATTTGTCTTTTCACTAGCTATTTGTCAGTGGTCGGTATGATTCTGCAATGATTTTGCATGAAGTATTTCCGGATTTCTGACTCTACCATAGTAAGGAAATATGACAGGGTATCACATAACATCACATGATGTAGTTTCAAACTTTGTCATCATTTCCACCGGCAAGTTAGGTGATCTAAAGTCCACATGATCATGTTGCACACATGTCTTCTTGATTAGTCATTGTAAAATTAAATTTGGTTATCTCGTACTGTAGAGTTGTCGGTGTAGATATCATTGGAAGCTATGTAACATTGGTACCATTAGATTCTGTTTACTACAATATAACAATTTTAATTTAGTGATCACTATTGTGCTGGGCCAAAATGTTATTTTCTTGTTGCAGCTTTATTTGTATGCTATATACTTCATAGCTGTTATGTAATACGTCTACCACATCAAGAGAATAAATAAAGACAATAAACTGTACTGTATTTTACGCTTTTTTCATTCAGTAAAGATTCGATTAGGTTCATAAGTTTGTCCGTTATAGAGAAATGCACAGCAAGGACTTTAAAACTGTTATGTCTTTAATACATTGTCAGAATGCATGGTTGGTGTATATGGATTTGTACTGATTACTGGAAACACTGGTAATGCATCAAATCCATGGCTACCCATGGTGATTAACAAGTTGTCAGAACTCTATTCAGAAGCATATAATTTGTGGCATGATGGTTATATGTGTGTTTGCCTAGTACAGATGAGACCACAGGTTGACTCACGAGATCGGCAGCGGAAACAAGAATCACAGCATTACTAATTAGAAGAATTGTGTCCAATCAGAGGTGATGCAAGTGTGTTTGCCCTGCCAAAGGGATGGTGGTCATGACAACAGCCCAAGGGCATACAACAAATCATGATATTGCCCGAATGACCATGTGTTATTTATATTATCACATCGAGAAGACATCCACCATGCACAAATACATCTAGCCATACACCACTCACACCCACTCTCCCACAAAATAACAACACTTATATTTAAAATATGCAATATTTTATTTTATGCATTATAACAAGTGACATTACTCTATAGCATACATACATTGTTTGCTGAAAAAAACTGCGAAATACACACAGTAAATGTTAATTTCAGCCACGGATACTAAAAGTGAACCACTCAATTTATCAAGTACATGTATAACGTTTTTGAAATGAATTGAGAAATTTTCAAACGCAAGTTATTTAACCACTCGCCAGATAAAAATGCCAGAGTGCCGTAGAAGTGTTTGAAATTACTTTCTCATGAACGTACTTCACCTTCTATTCACAAGTCACACAGCTTAGAGCATTTTCGTTTAGCAACGGCGTTGAACTTGAACGCATAAAAATGCTCACAGCATAGAATGTGCCACAGCGATCCCGGCTGCGACGTTTTAGTGGCGGCTTTGACGTACATTTTTCCTTCATATAAAGAATACCCTTAACATCAAAACAGAGTATCTTACTTAATATACATTCTGGCACGTTTGCTGTCTATTTCGAATGGCTAAAGTTCCTTCAACACCTTGCAGTGAAGGACAATTTGTTTCGCGCAGTATCGTTGCGCAGTAGTTTCAGTGACGTCATCCATGTGATACACCCATTTAATATCCACTTGGCGGGCAATATACCATGTAATATTCATGGCACATATTCACTGGCACTGTATTTGATCAACCTTAAAGCCCAGGAACTATTGGAAATCTAACCTGTATGCAAGTATATGAAGTAATATGCAAACACTTTGCGCTAAACATAATGATTTTGTCCTGACCAACCATTTTAATGGATTTATTCCACAAGTAATGCAATTCACTATCAAAAATTAATAAATTATCTGCTTGAGCGTAATAAATTTAATCAGCATTATTAATATTTAAAAATACTTTTTTTTTTGAAATGTTTGATAAAAAAACAGTGACGTAAATGGGATCAATGTAAAATTTCCTGTACATATTATTCTAAAGAAGTTTACAATAATAAAATATACATGCAGATGCCTATAAACACCAATGTCAGCTTTTGTCACAGTAGAATTACTGAAATTAATTTTGATCGAGATTTGCAGCCAATGAAAAATAACATCCAATTGGTTAAAAATTAATTAAAAAATGTTAAATTTTAGTGTGAAAAAAATGGGGTTAAAAGTCACACTAGAGAAAGGACTGATGAAAAAATTCATATATTGTTATTGTTATTAATAATTTTTCAAATTAAAAAAAATATATATATTCAATTCAGAATTTCTTTCCCATGATGCATTGCCAAATGATAAATAACAATGAAGTGAATGCAAAATTGTCAAAATAAAAAGGACACTACCAACCAATCAAAATTCTCACTATAAGAACTCAATTATTTTCACCTTGAACCCTCACAGAATGATGACTTTTCAAAGTACTGTAGGACAAGACAGTGAATAATGATGAGGTGGCTAAGACAAACCCAATGTGCAACAGAGAAAGAAATTAACCCTTCTCATCCGGGTTATTTTTTCTACAAATTAGGATGCAAATATATTTGCAACTTATGTGTAACTTTCTCAAAATTCCAATAATTTTTAAACCCGAAGGATATGATACTGCTTACTTGATTTTGATCAGAAATATTTAGTTTTGAATGACAAATTTTGTTAATACAATAATGGAATGGAAATATTTTATGAGCTAAATTTGACAATGGTGAATCAAAATTGACAATATTGGTGAGAGAATTAATTGAGTATAAAAAAAGACAAACAAAAATTGTCTACAATTTACAGAAAATAATCATTTTCAGTCTTCTTCAAAATTTACTCCTTTTTTAACTTTAATACGTTTACTTTGGGGATTAATCAAACTTCTTCCCTGTTTTTTAGGAATCTTTGGTCCCCGACTTTCTTCCTGCATCCGGATCATAAAACGTTGACACCATTGACAGTCCAGAACCTTTCTCTTTTTTCACTCTATCAAGTTCTTCGGCTGTACTTTTCAAATCTTTTTTCAAACTGGTTGCCGTGGCAGCAAGGTGTAACAAAATGTTTTGCAGGTCAGTTTTACGTTTACTGGCAGTCGCTTCATAGAGGTCAAAGTTCAAAGTTGAACCCCCTTTCCCGACTGTCAGAGTGACCCCATGACCTTGGGTTGCGACATCCAAGTCACTGGATTCAAATGCAGATTTAATTTTTGCAAAGAATACGTCGTATGTTTTGATGTCGGCTAATTCTTTATGTGAATCAACTTCTTTCTTGTCCATTTCAAGGCGCCATACATCAATTCCATCTGTTGAAATAACAAAAAAATTAATTATCAATAATTAATACATTTAATTTTGGGCTTCACTCTAATTTAGATGTAATGCAAGCATTTGCTACCAGTACTAATATAGGCATTTCAAACAGTTAACATTTCATAGTGAAAACAAATTTGGTATTTCCATGTTATAAAAAAGCTTTTCAATATTTGTCGGTAATGAAAAGAGTGGAGCAGGTTTGACATTGATAACAGACATTGTCAAAACAGAGTTTACCCATGCATGCTAGTCACTCTAAACATTGTATCCTTGAATATAAGCATCTGCCACTACAAAAAACTTTGAATTTTACTTTAATTCAGGTGCCATAAATGAATAAAATGTTTCAAAAAATGTCAACGACACCGAAATTACAACACAAATACATGAAGTTATATTTCATACCATATGGCAAACTGGCAGCTAATAATACCGCTCTCAAACACATTGGCAATAGAATCAATGTTATGTTCTGCTCATTATACCACTAATGTTAAAGTATGGTGCTAAAACCAAAATCCAAAACTTTAAAACTTTGCCACCAAAGACACAATTCATAGCCTTACTAAACAACAGTGGTCTAACACTCCCTGTAGCAAGGTACCTAAAGAAGTGTTTTGAAATAAGTTTGGCATTTTGTTCATAATTTACTCTTACCGGTAATATTTTTTTTTCTTTTACTCTGTAATGTATTAGCTTAGTTTGTTTTATTTCATTTTTTACTTTTAACTTTTATTCTTTCTTAAACATTTGTAACCATTGCCAATCCCTCCGGGGAATGTGTAAGTGTTAATAAAATTATTTTTATTAATATTAATAATTACTATTGTCGCCGGATATTGATCGTGAATTAATTTGGCCGTTGCCAAAAGAATTTCACACATGTAGTTTTCAAACTGACCAATGGAAAAGGTAAACAAGGAAATTGATGCAAAATGAGATACCATAAAATATTGCGTGCCCTGCAAAATAACAGACTCAGAAATCACCCCAATCAAATTGTTTAAAAACATATCAGCATGGAAAATTATAATTGCAATTTTCAGATGAGATTTTTCATTTTCACTTCCATAAATTAATTAGTTTAGCAATAATACCAAATCCTAACCAGATGTATGGAATGGGGTGGTGGTTGGTGGTGTTCTTCCATTTAGGTCATTTTTGGCGTAAGACACTAATTTTTGAGCAAAAAGAGCACCCTTAACATCAATCTTTTGGGGTACAGTATTCAACTAGCTGAGGAGCACTCCAATCTTAAATCCAGTATACCCAGTGCCTGGAATTATAACATAAGTTTAGTTGTCAAGTTAAGGTTAAATTAAAGTGGGGGAGTCGTCACCTGTGAATGCGTCAGATCGCCATAGCGTGTCATTGTTTACAAACAAGCATCTACCCATGAGTGTTTGCATTTTTAGCATGTGTTGTTATTGTCGCTTGGGACTTAATTCCCGTGTGTGCGCAGGTGACGACCCTCCCGCTTTAATTTACACACTCAAGTTAAAGTAAAGTGATTGATGCCATCTGACAGAGAAATTGATAAACTGATATGTTTATTCATTTTTGATGCTTGGTCAGTAATAATAATAATATTGGTAATCAAAACAAAATAATATCAGCGAAGAAAATGAAAAAGAACAAACACAAATTAAAAAAATAATACTTTGTCTTCATAATACTAATAGAAATAACATTATCACTGTCACTGCTCGTTCCAAAATCATTAAAGGAAAGATTTTCCATTGTATCCTCATCACTTACCCTAACCAAAGACTATAGTCTTTGCCCTAACTCAAATCCCATCCCCAAATCACTTGTATATGCCTCTCTAGATATATGGCTGTTCTCAAGAAGGGCATATGCAATACATTTGGGGCCGATGGAAGGTTGGGTTAGAGTGAGGATTGAAGTAGCCCTGCGTACATGGCTGTGTAGGGGTGATGAATAGGAGCGCCTCCACATTCACAGACCTGTACACAGAGCTAGGATTGAAGATGGAGGTACAATGAAACCCCACTGTGGTAAAATACGCAATGTAAAATACCTGTCACATGCAACGTCCAGGTATCGTCGTATTTCGCGCAGCTTGTAAAGGACACCATCTTGTCACCTCCCCGCTTAACGAAGCAGTGAAGTCTGTCAACCCCCGCTTCGATCGCTAACTGTTTTGCGGAACTCATATTAACCGGAGTATTGAGATCAATTACCAGAAGAGTGGTAGGTCGCAGGTCAGCAAGGTAAGTAGACCCCCTATCTTTGTATAAAGTATAGCTTTAATAAAAACCTTCTTACTGTCTTATTATATCTCTAGTTTTGACTTAAGATGTGACAAAACGAAGCCAAAATCTGACAATTCGATAATATTTCATTTTATTCGACTAATTACCAACAGTCAGAAAGAAAATGAGAGTTTTATTTTAGCGGAAGAGCCAGTTCCCCCATAATACTTCACGCAGTACCTGAACTGCGCGTGCGTAAGTTGCATAGCAACAAACCCAAATTTTCAAGATGGAGGACGATACACAGGCCAAAACAGAAGAAAACACAGGTAAAACTTACATTTTTTTCACACCAATCTAAATTTATTGTTAACCTGAACTCATTTCAATATCAAATACGTCGATCGGTTTAATAAATGACGTTCTAGAGCCTTGCGATTTTGTGTAGGAGTCCTTTCCAAAATCACGTCGACTGTGATCAAAACATTGATTGCTGTCTCTAGCTCAGACGAGAATACATGTATCGATCTCAATCAAAAGTTATTTACTGTATGATTTGGTACTCGAATTTACTTCATAATACATATGAAACTCTGCTTCACTAGACTGGTCATCTGTCGAGCGAACCCGTCATCGGTTTGTGCTGGCCTAAAAATGATGGAGTTAAAGACCGACCACCCCCACACTACTTCATGTCTAACCCTTCCCGAGTTGTAATAGATTAATATGTAATTTTTCATAATACAGAATAGAGGATTAATTAAGATAGTCATTTCTTTGTCTAAAATGCGTTCCTCAGGTTCTTTGAAAAAGCTTGTAATTTACAAACTGTTAAGATTCTTAATTATTAATCATAAATATATAATAATAATAAATAATTTTATTAAGATCATTAATTAGCACAGATATTTTTCACAAATTCATGGGTTATTACAGCTGATACTTGTAAACACTACTGAAAAGTGAGCGTTCACTAGAAATACTGCCGTGGCATTAGCTAACATTTTCTGTATAATAAAACACTTCATGGCAAGAGGGAGAAACAATCAAATAATAGTATGATTGAATTAATGCAGCTTGAGATAAATTGAGATTTTCCACTACTAAGCCTGTTTCTGCACATGGGTGTTATTCATTAGAGGAGAGAACTTCCCATTGTATATAATAGGGAACTGTTTTCATACTGCAAACTCTATATGTACATTTTTTACAAAATTTTTAAAAGGCAGTAGTCGTCATGCCACGCATGCGCAAGATATATGAGTGTCATATAAACAAAAAAGGCGACTTTGACTGTTGTGCAGATCAATGAGTACAAACTGAGACGTTTCCAAGCTTTAATTAGGTAATTTTTAGGTGATTGGAAGGTATCGAAGGAATCACTGGCGGTATTCAGTGCAAGTCGATCCCATGTTAAACCTCATACTTGTGATTTCCATTTGAAGAGTGCATTGGATTATGAGAAAATTGATGTTTATCAACACCAACGACCACATCGCTTTAACAATATTGTGATTTATATAAATAATAATGTCTGTATGACTTTTTTTATCCCATGTCACTGAGCGAAATTTTGTCATAAAAAGAAACCAGTGTATAATTGCAAATTTTAGTTCCTTTCCATGACATTTTGGACTCTGTTTCCCTGATCTTACCATCGGTTATAACTGAGATTAATTATCTATGTATGGTACGGTACTACAACTAATTTTGATATTTTTGTTATTTCCAATTCAATAGAGAGTAAACCAGAAGCCACAGAAGATGAAGCTGAACAACCAGGTGAGTTAACTTCACTATTGTCTTTTTCTGGAGAGAGTGATTTGATAAATATTTCTGTTTTTCAATAACTACCTTAAATTACAAGCTTTAGATGTTAATCTTACTTTGTCACATCCATTGGTACAACCACAAGCCCAATATAATACTTGCAAGTTTACGTTGCACCCTATATGCAGTATGCACACACAAGGAAAATGCTTCCGGTTAAGTTGTTCAACAGAATCCTGAAATCAAATTTAGGTGACGCCTTTAAAATAAAGTAAAGTGACATTGAATGATTACGATAATGAAAAAGATTTTAATTTGCTGATTAGACACCACAACAATGAACCAATATTTCAGGATTTCTTGCCATACCGATTTTTCATGGTGATCACAATAATCAGTGGGAGGTGTTCTGCATATAATTCAAAGTGGCAATGTATCTTTATTATGCATTATTCACCATAAATAAAAGATACATGTATGTTTTTATACATAACTTCTTCAGTTTTGTGTGAAAAAAACAAAGTACCAGTATAAATCAGCACACTGCATGGTGTTGTTATCATTTTATTTTTTTCTCATTTTTAGCAGAGAATCCTGCTGAAACGGAAAATGTAGAAATAGCTGAAGAAGGTAAAACAAATGAAACAACAGCAAATGATGGGGAAGATAAACCACAAGAGGAACAGCCAGAGGCAGTGGAAGACAAAACCAATGATGAAGAGAGTAAAGTAGAAGAAATGCCAGCAGATGAGGGGGAGGATAAACCACAAGAGGAACAGCCAGAAACAGCGGAAGACAAAACCAATGATGGGGAGAGTAAAGTAGAAGAAACACCAGCAGATGAGGGGGAAGATAAACCACAAGAGGAACAGCCAGAGGCAGCAGAAGACAAAGCCAATGATGAGGAGGGTAAAGTAGATGAAGCTAAAGAGGATGAGGGGGAGGCAGGTGACAAATTGACAGAAGGGGAGGGGGACAAACCTCCAACTGAAGAAGGGGAGAAAGATCCAGAATCAAGTAAAGATGAAGAGAACAAAACAAATGAAACACCTGCGGAAGGTGATGAAGTAAAGACATCGGAGGGAGAAGCATTGGTTGAAGAAACAGCAGCTGATGGTGTATCAACTGAGCAAGTAGAGCTGGAAGAAAGTAAGCCAAGTGACGAAGAAACTGCTGCTGCGGAATCTGAAGAGAAGAAAGGTAAGAACAGTTATCAGGTTCTGCTCCAAAATTTGTTATAATGTCTAGTCCATGAGCATAGTTTTGCTCTTTTTCAGTTGGCATATTTAAATTTGGCATATTTTGTCATTGGTGTTAAATTATCCATCTCCCTACCATACAAAACTATGATAATTTTTCTGTGTCTTGTTTCATATGCAAAGCTGGAATCATAATTGTACCCCTCCTCTTCCAATGTGGTAAACTGGTTGGCTTATGAACTTCTACATACTATGATATTCTCGCTATGATAGGTAGAATAGCAATGCTGAATCCCACCCCTGTCTCTGAAATTAACATTATCACTAGCATGATTGCCCAGTAATTGGAAAACTCAAAACTTCATCAAGATCTTGTTAACCATTAATTTCACAGATGGAGAAGACACAGCACCAGCTGAGGTTGCCAATGGGGATGATAAAACAGAAGAGACTGAGAAGAAAGAGGAAGAAGTTGAGAAGACAGAGGATAAGCAACCTGAGGGGGATGAGGCTGAGAAGAAAGACGATGACGCAGCAGAGGGCGATCAAGAGGTCAAAGAGGAGGCTGATGTAAAAGATAAAGGAGAAACCGACGGCGATGCCAAAATTGAGGACAGCAAAGATGCCAAAGTTGAAGGTGAACAGGATCAAGTTCCTGAGGGTGAAGAACACCCCCCTGTCAAAGAGGAAGATAAAATTGCAGACAATTTTTACTATGAAATAGATGATCACATTTCAATAGCGAGATGTACTGAAGACTCTGGTCTACCGAATAATTTGCTGTCATTGCAGTATCCTTTGTTCCATAGTTTATTTGCATGTCCTCATTGGAGATATAAGTGTGTTGCAAGTCGTGCAATGTATCACAGCTAGATTGCTGCAATGAAGCTAAGATTTGTACACAAGCTTTCCGTGACTATGCGGATGGCTTTCTACTGTATACTGTCAAATCTGCAAACAGGGATTTTTTCAAACAAGGGAACAGGGGCACAGCGCCCTGATGCCATGGCCATGCGCCCCCTTATACTGGGAAGCAGATTCTCTGGCAACCGTAACATTCTGAAAGACCAGGGACCACATGTGGCCACAGTCGTCAACTGTGATAGTACTGTCTGATAGTAATTTTGGCCCCAAGGAAGCCATAGAATGCTCCATTTTAACTTAGAATTATCAAAAACTCCACACCCTGGTAGGGAGAACCTTATCTCCCCCACCTGGTAGCACCGCTGTATTGCAGTGCTCCCTCTTGCAGTTTTTTTTTTCTAGAAAAACCTCTGGGCAAACTTGCCATACTATTTCTTTTTGTGCTGAGCTGCACCAGAATTCGTTATGAAAAAAAATAACCATATGAACATACGAGAAGCAACATCCACCATATGCATGTATTGGTGTTTTCTGTTCAAATGAAGCGTATGGTGAGAGTGTAGAATATGTGAATATGTAAAACAATGATAGTGATGAATGACAGTGATCAAATGATTATATAATTATATATAATTGAAAAAAAATTCTTTTCCCTGCATGGACCATAATTTTCCTCAACACTTCAACTCTCAGTCATTCGTTTGGTTATGATTGTAAGAAGAGGTCTAATTTGGAAATGCTGGATCCTAACACAGTTATCTTTGCGGCTGGTAACATAGTAGAATTACTGAATCTACAGACTGCTGAGCAGACGTATATACGCAGTTCCTCAGGAGGTGGTATCGGCGCAATTGCCGTGAGTATCTGATTTTCTTTTACTGTTGAAGCAGAATCATGATAAATAATTTACTATTGAAACAGAACATGAGATTACTTTGATTTTCACAATGAGGTTTAATTTTCAGTTGTTGTCAAAGCCCAAAGGAATTATGATTGCCACCAACCACGAATAATTGTCAAACATGTATGCTGCCAGAAGATGGTTGGCAAGAAATATTAGAAAATTATGATCATTATTATGTTTCGTGGGTTACCAAAATTGTTCATTTTTCTCTGAAAAAACTGTGTTCATATCTAATACAAAACAATTTTTAAACAAACTGAAAACATGATACATTGATTCTTCTAGCTTAATCGGTTGAATGGCCATAAACAACTTTAATATGGAGGATGCAGTCTTCTGTCTGTGCATTGTCGTTGTGCTTGTCGTTAACGTATACTGATTCTTGTGGTTTGTTACAGGTTCACCCAAGCAGAAAGTATTTTGCTGTTGCTGAGAAAGGAACGAACCCCAACATAAACATCTTTGAGTATCCGTCACTAAAACTCTACCGTATTTTACGTGGCGGTACAGAGAAAGCATACTCTTTCATTGATTTCAATCCATCGGGGGAAATTATTGCGTCTGTTGGTTGCGATCCCGATTTCATGCTGACTGTATGGGACTGGAAGCAGGAACATATTGTGCTGAGGTCCAAAGCATTTTCACAAGACGTCTTTCACGTTACGTTTTCACCAGACAATGAGAAGCATTTGACAAGCAGTGGTGTCGGTCACATCAGGTACTAATTTTATTTTACAATTATTGTTATAATTATAGTAAAAACCTGCCTCAGATTTCGGTAGATGTCAAAGACATTCGCTAAAGTGTATTCATTGAGCTTTCAAACATCATAAAGCTTTCTGGCAAAATTTTGTTTCAAAACTTTTCACCAAAGTTCTGAGTTATTTTCTATATTTTTCTTTGTTGATTTTGGAATAAATGGGTACTGTTCCCCATTGTTCTAAAAGCCTTTGATTCAAATTTGTAAAAAAAAGTGCTGCTTTA